AGGAGGACAAGAACGGAGCCACTTCAGAGACACCATGGCCTCCGCCTCACTCGCGACTCACTCGCTTACGGTAGACTGAACATCTTCGTCTGGCGAGCCGGGGAGAGCGGGGCCGCGGGAGAGTGTGGGGAGGGGGGAAGGGGGATGGAGGAGGGGAGGAAGGGGTGGGGTAGGGGAGAGGGAAGAGAGAGAAAGGGGAAGGGGAGAATGGGAAGGAGGGGAAGGGCGGGGAAAGAGAGAAGAGAGAGTGTAAATCCGAGGTGAGAGTTGGAAGGAGAGGCAGAGGAAGAGAGGTAGAATAGAGAGAGGAGAGGAGAGAGAAGAGAGAGAGAGAGAGAGAGAAGAGAGAGAGAGAGAGAGAGAGAGAGAGAGAGAGAGAGAGAGAGAGAGAGAGAGAGAGAGAGAGAGAGAAACGATAGAAAACAAGAAAAAATAAATAAAATGGAAAACAGACAAAAGCACATAGAAAGCGAAGGAGAAAGACACAGACAGAAAGAAAAAAATAAGTAAAAAAAAAAGTTATGACATCGCGTTCGCAATAACGAGGTCCCGAAGCCGCCACGTATCCTTGTATCGGGGTCTTGCAGGCGGGACCTCGACTCCGTCTCATTGTTGGCTTCACTAAAAATCTCGACCACACATTTGCCAGATTAAACACACATTTCTTCTGAAAGCGCAATGATCACAGAGACCTAAAGATGATGATTAAGAAAAGAACTAAAAAAGAAGAAATGCTAATGGGGGGGGGGGATAAATATAAAGGATAGGAAAGAACGGAAACGTAGAAGAAATTTCGAAAAGAGAAAAACAAACATGGCGGGGAGAAAACGAACCGAAAGATAGAAGGGGAAAATGATAAACGGAGGGAATACAAACACATCGATGAAGAGGAACATAACAGCGCAATTTCTTCAATTAAACGACGTCGGACGAACGGAAAATCTTGGTAAAGTTCAAGCAAAGTTTAGACATTTTCCTGTTCTCGTAAATCAGATAAGGAGTCGTTGATATGAAACTTCGATCCAAAATTTCGAGAAAAGTAAGTCCATTAAGCCCATAAATTGTTCCTTACTCATGAAGCTGGGGAAGACAATTAATTGAAAGGATTTATTTGTATTCTGAATAAATGATTCACTTGCCAAAAAACGCTTACATAACGAATATAAACTTTGCAGATTCTAGTTTCAACATTTTAAAAAAATCAATCCTTTGTTTCATTTACCTGAACGAAAATAATTACAAGCAATTGTTCCGTACATTATACTTTAATATTTTTTATTGCTCATAACTATTATTCCAATATAATGTTTTTTAATAACCTATTTTTCTTTTTTTTTTCATCATTTCCCTAAATCTCTAATTCCTCCTTTCTCTCTCTTCATGCCTCTTCTTCGTTATCCCTCCCTCCCAAAAAATCACAAATACCAAAACCAAAAGAAAATAGCAACAAGAGAAAATAACTATCTAAAGAAACAAGTAAAAAATGAAAAAAGATGGCGCTCCGAAAATAATTATAAATCGCCAGAATAGCTTCGATGCGCTCTCTCCCGCTCGGATGTTTATTAAAGATTGCTTGATTAATTTCGGATAACCTCTGCCTCCCTTTTTCCCGGAGTAATTTAAAGCGTACCATTAATTTCCGGATATTTCTGTTTATTATTTTTCTAAATGACTTATCTTATTATTCTTCCTTTGTAATAAGAGAACTGTTTATTTTCAAATCGTATATTTAAAGTATCATTAATCTTGTGTAAGTTACATTAGAAAATAGAAAGCTGAGTATTATAAAGCATTAATATAGGCAGAGGAACCGTGGATATATGTGCGTATGCAAGCATAGATATCCATGCAAATGCAGCATATATACATAAATGGAAAGTTTCAGCAGAACACTATTGCATATTTTTTGCAGAAATGGTGAAAATTACGAACTCAGGCACTTGCAAATTACATTAACTCCCTTCCCCCAATATTTCGGTAGTGAGTATGCACAGTACACCCTGATAATATTTCAATTTCCTATTTCCTGCAATAAAAAATATATAATACCGTTTTCGTAAAAGAATAATATGCTGATAAAAATAAAAAATCAACTATTCATGACAGTGCGATAACGCTTTTCGTTCATTGCAATGAGCCAAAAAATAATTACCGTTTTCTGTAATGAAAAAATAAAAAAAAATCCCGTTTTCTGTAGAAACAGATCGATAACTGTTGTGTAACGCAAGCGAACATTGCAACATTATATACTTACGTATTACCGCATCCCACAAGAAACACGAGTTGCATCCCCGCCGCCCACGACACCGCCCAAATACGATTCTATGGGCGTAGTTCACCCATACATTCGTGTCCGTCGGTGACCAAATTTTACTTTTTTACTTTTTTGCCTGCATACCGTGAAACAATCTGCCTGGCGCTCAAGTGGAAACACCTATGGCAATCATGGAGCACGTTGCGACACGTACAAGTCGTACCTATAGCTTTCTTTTTTCATGGG